GAGTCCGAGAGAGGAGCCGCGGGCGCCGTGGATGGAGCAGGAGGGGCCGGAGTATTGGGACCGGAACACACGGATCGCCAAGGAGGCCGCACAGTCCTTCCGAGTGAGCCTGGGGATCCTGCGCGGCTACTACAACCAGAGCGAGGCCGGTGAGTGACCCCGGCCCGGGGCGCAGGTCACGACCCCTCCCCATCCCCCACGGACGGCCCGCGTCGCCCCGAGTCTCCGGGTCCCAGATACACCCCGAAGCCGCGGGACCCCGAGACCCTTGACCCGGGAGAGCCCCAGGCGCCTTTACCCGGTTTCATTTTCAGTTGAGGCCAAAATCCTCGCGGGTTGGTCGGGGCGGGGCGGGGCTCGGTGGACGGGGCTGACCGCGGGGGCGGGGCCAGGGTCTCACACCCTCCAGAACATGTATGGCTGCGACCTGGGGCCCGACGGGCGCCTCCTCCGCGGGTATTACCAGGACGCCTACGACGGCAAGGATTACATCGCCCTGAACGAGGACCTGCGCTCCTGGACCGCCGCGGACATGGCGGCTCAGATAACCCAGCGCAAGTGGGAGGCGGAAGGTTGGGCGGAGCAGGACAGAGCCTACCTGGAGGGCCGGTGCGTGGAGTCGCTCCGCAGATACCTGGAGAACGGGAAGGAGACGCTGCAGCGCGCGGGTACCAGGGGCCACGGGGCGCCTCCCTGATCGCCTGTAGATCTCCCGGGCTGGCCTCCCACAAGGAGGGGAGACAAATGGGACCAACACTAGAATATCGCCCTCCCTCTGATCCTGAGGGAATCCTCCTGGGTTTCCAGATCCTGTACCAGAGAGTGACTCTGAGGGTCCACCCTGCTCTCTGACACAATTAAGGATAAAACCTCTGAGGGAATGACTGGAAGATGATACCTCGAATACTGATGAGGGGTTCCCTTTGACACCGGCAGCAGCCTTGGGCCCCGTGACTTTTCCTCTCAGGCCCTGTTCTCTGCTTCACACTCAATGTGTGTGGGGGTCTGAGTCCAGCTCCTCTGAGTCCCTCAGCCTCCACTCAGGTCAGGACCAGAAGTCACTGTTCCCTCCTCAGGGAATAGAATTTTCCACGGAATAGGAGATTCTCCCAGGTGCCTGTGTCCAGGATAGTGTCTGGGTTTTGGGCTCCCTTCCCCACCCCAGGTGTCCTGTCCATTCTCAGGATGGTCACATGCGTGCTGGTGGAGTGTCCCATGACAGATGCAAAATGCCTGAATTGTCTGACTCTTCCCATCAGACCCCCCCAAGACACATGTGACCCACCACCCCGTCTCTGACTACGAGGCCACCCTGAGGTGCTGGGCCCTGGGCTTCTACCCTGCGGAGATCACACTGACCTGGCAGCAGGACGGGGAGGACCAAACTCAGGACACAGAGCTCGTGGAGACCAGGCCTGCAGGAGATGGAACCTTCCAGAAGTGGGCGGCTGTGGTTGTGCCTTCTGGAAAAGAGCATAGATACACCTGTCATGTGCAGCATGAGGGTCTGCCCGAGCCCCTCACCCTGAGATGGGGTAAAGAGGGAGATGGGGGTGTCATGTCTCTTAGGGAAAGCCGGAGCCTCTCTGGAGACCTTTCACAGGGTCAGGACTCCTCACCTTCCCCTCTTTTCCCAGAGCCGTCTTCCCAGTCCACCATCCCCATCGTGGGCATCATTGCTGGCCTGGTTCTGCTTGGGGCTGTGGTCACTGGAGCTGTGATTGCTGCTGTGATGTGGAGGAGGAAGAGCTCAGGTGAGGAAGGGGTGAGGAGTGGGGTGAATCTTGCCACTGAGGGTTTCAAGCCCCAGGTAGAAGTGTGCCCTGCCTGGTTACTGGGAAGCACCATCCACACTCATGGGCCGACCCAGCCTGGGCCCTGTGTGCCAGCACCTACTCTTTTGTAAAGCACCTGTCACAATGAAGGACAGATTTATCACCTTGATTATGGTGATGGAACCTGATCCCAGCAGTCACAAGTCACAAGGGAAGGTCCCTGCTGAGGACAGACCTCAGAAGGGCAGTTGGTCCAGGACCCACACCTGCTTTCTTCATGTTTCCTGATCCCGCCCTGGGTCTGCAGTCACACATTTCTGGAAACTTCTCTGGGGTCCAAGACTAGGAGATTCCTCTAGGACCTTATGGCCCTGGTTCCTTTTTTATATCTAACAGGACATTTTCTTCCCACAGATAGAAAAGGAGGGAGCTACTCTCAGGCTGCAAGTAAGTAGGAAGGAGGCTGATCCCTGAGATCTTTGGGATATTGTGGTTGGGAGCCCATGGGGGAGCTCACCCAGCCCACAGTTCCTCCTCTAGTCACATCTCCAGAGGGATCTGACCAGGTCCTGTTTTTGTTCTACTCCAGGCAGTGACAGTGCCCAGGGCTCTGATGTGTCTCTCACAGCTTGTAAAGGTGAGACCCTGGGGGCCTGATGTGTGGGGGGTGTTGGGGGGAACAGTGGACGCAGTTGTGCTGTGGGGTTTCTTTGACTTGGATGTATTGAGCATGTGATGGGCTGTTTAAAGTGTCACTCCTCACTGTGACGGATATAAATTTGTTCATGAATATTTTTTCTATAGTGTGAGACAGCTGCCTTGTGTGGACTGCGAGGCAAGGTTTGTTCCCGCCTTCTCTTTGTGACTTGAAGAACCCTGACTTTCTTTCTGCAAAGGCACCTGAATGTGTCTGTGTTCCTGCAGGCATAATGTGAGGAGGTGGGGAGAACACCCCATCCCCGTGTCCACCATGACCCTCTTCCCCACGCTGACCTGTGTTCCCTCCCCATTTATCTTTCCTGTTCCAGAGAGGTGGGGCTGGGATGTCTCTATCTGTGTCTCAACTTCATGGTGCACGGAGCTGTATCTTCTTCCTTCCCTATTACAATTAGAACCTGAGTATAAATTTACTTTTTCAAATTCTTGCCATGAGAGGTTGATGAGTTAATTAAAGGAGAAGATTCCTGAAATTTGAGAGACAAAATAAATGGAAGACCTGAGAACCTTCCAGAGTCCATGTGTTTCTTATGCTGATTTGTTGCAGGGGAGGAGAGTAGATGGGGCTGTGCCCAGTTTGTGTTCCGGCCACCACGGGCTTTATGTGGTCACTGCTTGGCTGGGCCATCTTTGCTCCTTCATTGTCCTTGGCCCTTCAGTAGAACCTTGTCCCACCAAGACCTGTGATCACAGGGAGTTGGATGTCACCTAGGGCGGTCTCTGCATACAAATCTCTTTGTGGTATCAAGGATAAATTTTCAAACCTGTCCAGATCTTGCCCTCCTCCCGGGGCTCTTTCCTGGATTGTACTTTCCATCTTGTCGCCAATCATTTTAAAGGAACCAGATTCTGAAATTTACAGAGAAGATGGGTCCCCTAGTTTCCATCATAGGTAACTTTCTGTTGGAGCTCCTCTTCTACCGTCCTACTCATCTTCCTGGCCTGAGTTGTAGTAATCCTAGCGCTGGCTCCAATCCAAACTCATGGATGTATAAAGCAGAGTCTAATTTAGATTCATATGTGGTTGGAAAATTGTACCCGTAAGGCTAGGGTTATTGTTCCTGAAGAGAAAAATATGGTTGCCTGCTGCAGTGTGCAGGAGGGTTGGTGTGGGAGGAGGGAGGGAGGAAGGGAGGACACACAAGCAGCCCTGGTGAGAAAAGCACTGGTGGCATCGATGTCCACGTGAAATGATGTTGTTCTTTAGCTGCCACAAAACAGCATTTACCCTGAGACTATGTTAATAAAAATATTGGCTTTAGAATAGAGATATGCTCTACAGTGATCATTCATTCAACTGACATTTGTTGTCTGCTAGGGATATGACTGCTTTTGCATTTAGAAAGCATCACTAAAGTCAAAACAGAAAAATTTCTGGCGTTGTGGTACATACATTCTAGATGCAAGCTTGTCCAGCCCGCGGTTCGTGGACTAAATGTGGCCCAGGACAGTTTTGAACGTGAGGAGTTTTTGCTTCTCTGTGGTGGATCTGAGATCTGGATTGGGTGCACCCACCTCTCTCAGGGTCAGGAGTGAAAGCTTTAGGAACTCTCCTTTTCAGTGACCTGCAAAAGATAGAGGGCACGGTTACTGTGAGAACCCAGAGTAGCAGCCAAGGGGGCTCAGCCCTCAAGGAATTGTGGGGAAGGTTAATAAAAGGTGGTGTCCCAGGGTCAGACCAGATGGGCAGCCAGTGAGGGCACTGCTTCATATCTATGATGAGAATGCAAGAATTGAGGAGTAGGGGCCAGGCGCGGTGGCTCAACCTGTAATCCCAGCACTGTGGGAGGCCGAGGCGGGTGGATCACGAGGTCAGGAGTTCAAGACTAACCTGGCCAAGATGGTGAAACCCCGTCTCTACTGAAAATACGAAAAAAAATTAGCCAGGCGCGGTGGCCGGCGCCTGTAGTCCCAGCTACTCGGGAGGCTCAGGCAGGAGAATGGTGGGAACCCGGGAGGCGGAGCTTGCAGTGAGCCGAGATCGCGCCACTGCACTCCAGCCCGGGCGACAGAGCCAGACTCCGTCTCAAAAAAAAAAAAAGAAAAAAAAATTGAGGAGTAGGAGGCCGAGGGTGTTTGACCAAATACAAAGTCATGATCCCAGTCTCAATTCCTAGACTTCAGTCAAGCTTTAGTTTCAGAATCCACAGTGGGGCTTAAGGAGGCCAGGAAATAAACCTGGACACACTATGGCCCACAGTGGGACCACTGGGTCCATAAACCCAGTCCTGGTTTTCTCCCCATTCCCCACATGCATAATTGACCTTGATGCACTGGCAACTTTGGTCACCCCCACACTGCATCCCTAGTCTGGAGAGTAAGGGCTGTCATTGTGCTGAAGCCCAAAGGGAATCCTCTAAAACTTCCCTCATCCCAGCCAAGCCAGAAGCAATATTGTGCCAGAGTGGGACTTGTGGTGAGTACAGCAGGTATTGTAGGGGTAGCACTGCCGTTAGAGAGCTGAAGGGTGGGGGAGGTTGGGATTGCCTATTATCTCCATATAATTCAGCAATCTGTCCCTGAAGAAGCCTGATAAAGCATGAATGGAATTTCTCCAGACTTGACCAAGTAGGAGTCCTGATTGCAGCTGCCATGCTGGCTGGATATTGCTGCTTGGGGACATTAATAAGGCCTCAGGCACATGGCAAGCAGCTGTGGATTTGGTGACTGCATTCCTTCCCATTCCATTTAGAAAATGGATATGGAATGATTCACATTCACATGGAATTTATAATACCTTTATTGATAGCTTGCCTCAGGGCTACCTTAACTCCTCAACCTTCTGTAAATATCACCTTAAGAGACCTGGACAAATCAGACATATCACAGAATACTAAATCTGCTCATTTCATTGGCAATATCACATAGATCAGGATGGAAGAGCAAGAGGAGGAAAGTACGCTGAATTCCTTGGCAAAACATGTGCCCTATGGAAGGAAGATTAACTTTACAGAGCTTCAAGAGTGGACACGGCAGTGAAGTGTTATGGGTCCAGTGGTTAGGCGCATGCAGGGCTCTCCCCTCCAAAGTAAAAGTCAAACTTGCATCTTGTATCCTCACCAGAAGGAAGGACGCACACTACCCAGCCTCTCTGGGTTCTGTCAACACCACATTCCACATCTAAGTATATTGCTTTGGCCCACACTCTGGGTGATATAGGAGGAGGCCAGTTTTGAGTGGGGCCTGGACAGGAAAGGACACTGCTGCAGACCCAGGCTGTGGTGCAGTCAGTCACCATCCCTCAGACCCCTGGTGCTGGAGGTGGCAGTGTGGGGAAAGATGCAGGATGGAGCTGAACCAAGCATCAGTGGGAGAGTCAGAATGGAGGGCCTGTGATCTGGAATAAGGCCATGGAATCCACAGCAGAGAAACATGCTCCCTGTTAGAAGCAACTTTTAGCATGTTCCTGGCCCTGATAAGATAGAATGCTTGATCATGGGACACCAAGCAACGTTGTGATTCCAAGTGCCCTTGTGTATTGGCTTCTATGTGACCCACAGAGGCATAGATCGGACAGGGCCAGCAGGATCTATCATGAGATGAAAATGGTCCATGTGGGTTGAGCCTTAATTCCATGTTAACATCCACAGAAAACACCCAGCCCTGATGTGGCCCTGAATCACCAAACAAATTGACGATAAATTGAAATTAGCCAGCCGGCATCACGGATCAGCCCAGGTATGACAGGAAGGATTGATAAGTGGATAAACACAGTGGCAGGAATGAGGCTACAAGTGGGTCCAGCAGCACTGACTCCCCCTTACCAAGGACCGTCCAGCTGCTGCTTCCTCTGAATACTCTGCTTATGAACATTACAGACTAATGATGGGCCCCATAGGGCACTGTTTCTTCAGGTAACTGACTAGCCCCTAAGTGACAAGTTGAACAGCTTGAGTCCCATCCATCCTGGAAGGGCCAGAGGTTCATCCTCACAGGGATAGGCACCTATTCGATGTGGTGTGATTTTCCTCTCTGCGTTCACACCCTCAGCCAGCATCACTATTTGCATTCCTGATCCACTGGCTCAGAATTTCAGTACATTATCTGCCCACGGGACACACCTCAGAGGGAAGGGGATGAAGCGTGGGCCATGACCATGGGAGCCCCTGCTCATATCAACACCTGTGCCTCCCAGGGGCTGCCAGCCACACAGAGTCATGGACAGGTCTCTACAGGTACAACTCAGTACCAGCCTAGATGAAACCCTCTGAGGAATGGGTGCCATCTTTCAGGATGTGGTGCATGCATTGAATCCAACACGTCTCTATGGTTCTGTGTGTTCAGAAGGAAGAATACATGGGTCCAAAAACCAAAAAGTTGAAGCAGGTGTGGCTCCATGTCTCATCCCTTATATTCACCACCAGGGTGCACCACTTTGCGCTTCTCATCTCCAAAATCTGGACCCTGCAGGGTAGGAGGTCCTGGTTTCCCAAAGGGGGCACCCTGGCAAGGAGACAAATGGGAGTCCATGGAACTACACATTTTGGTTGTCCCAGGGAAGTCTGAATAGAATGTTCCCAGAAACAAGCAGGTAAGAAGAGGAGGAGGCAAGGCTGCTATCACACAATGAGGGCAGCAGAAGAGAAGTGTGTGGAAACCAGAGGTCCATGTGGGGACCTCCTGGTTCCCCTTGTCCCATTGTTAAGTATGAGCAGAAACATCCAGCAACCCAGCCTGAGAGGGTTTCCTATTCAAGAGCCCAGACCCTCAGGAAGGAAGGATTGAGTCACACTCCAGGGTAATCTCCTAAGGCTGTGCTGCTGTGCTCTGACACCCTCAGTAGCATTGGTGCAGAAGCCCTGCTTCCCCCATAGGCTGTTCCCAGCCAGTGACCGCTAAGGCACAGCAGGCGCACTAAGGCAGGCCATTTCTGGGAGACATGGGACTCCTCTGATGGCCAACTGTGGCTAGAAGACTCCTCCATGGCCTTGCTCAACCCTCCTTAGATTGTCCATGCTCTAGGATGCGTTGAACAAACCTTCTCTCCTTCTGTCCAACACTTGGGGTCACACTTGCATCTTGGTCCGCTGCCTTTTTGAGGGATTTCTGGCTCACTTCCCATATACCCTTACAGGTGTGTTCCCTCATAAAATGCCACAGACTTGAAGCTCATCTTGGCATCTACTCCTTGGAGGACTTGGACTAAAAATAATTTCCATCTGCACGTCAATAACTCTTACTTATTCCAACTGGTAAAATCCTTCTCTTTATCCAACTTCTGCCACCCTCATAGAACTGATTTTGCTTGTGTTTGTAGTATCTCTTTGAGTTAACAGATATTTTTTGTATTAAGTCACTAAATCTTTAGGTAGTTTGTGACACAGCAGTTAATAACTATTAAGGCTTTCTGAAGTTTCTATTATTCTGTGAATATTGTCCACATCTCTTTTAATTTGTTGCATTTTAATAATGTTAGCCATACTTGCCGTTTCCAGTCCTTTCCCACTATTCTTTATTGAAACTTTTTATTTCACCTTTCTCTGTCCTTCCTTCCTTCTTTCCTCCTTTTCTCCCTCAGAG